TTTTTTTTTAATATTTTTAATTTTTTTTTTTTCTTTTTTAATTTTTGTCTCAAAATTTGGTTCAAAATAATGCAGCATGCAGTAGGTGCAGCTGCAGACAAGGACCACACAACTGAGAAAAATTTTGTAAAATTTTAATACTGTTGTTTTCACTGATGTTACATGTTATTCCCAAAATTTGAATTCAGGGTGCAAAATCAAATTATTATTGCAGAAACCACAAAACTGAAAAAAAAAAATAAAAAATAATAAATTGCTTGTTTTAAGCTTTCCCTATGTTTTATCACAGGGCCTGAAAAGGAAAAGAGAGATTACATTTAAAAGGCTAAGAAAAAAAGGCTGAAAATGTGTATACATGTACCCTTTGTAGCTCCTGAATAAGATAGAAAAGAATTTGTTTCTATATAGAATTTGAACTTTCTATTACACAATATATTAGATTTATAGAATCGGGAGAAGAAGGTGCAGTCCTACATAGGTGAAGCGCATAAGAGGGTGAGCCCAGGTGCATGAGGTTACATCCGGTTATATCTTAAAACCAATTGGTGGTGGGAGGAGTAGTCTACTAAGATTATAAGTTAGGCTGGGTCCGGTTATATTCCACGGTTATATCCCAAAACTAATTGGTGCTAGGCTGAATCCCATTACATTCCACGGTTACATCCCAAAACCAATTGGTGGTGAGAGGAGTGGTTCACTAAGCTTATAAGTTAGGTTGAATCTTTCTCTAACCGTCCCATAACAGACTCGGTTAGCAGAGAGTCATCAAAGATTACATCCCAAAATTAATTGGTGGTGGGAGGAGTAGCCCACTAAACTTATAAGCTAGGATGAGTCCTTCTCTAACCCAGAACAAGCTCAGTTAGCATAGAGTCATCACCGGTCCTAGATTAGGCATACTCTTATACAATATTAGATTTATAGAATCCGGGGAAAGGGGTGCGGTCTTACATAGGTGAAACGCACTATAAGAGGATGAGTCTACGTATACCATAATAAAGTTGCATTCAAAAACCAATTGTTATGGAAGGAATAGTCGACTAATCTTATACGCTAGACTTATTTACCTTGTAAAAACAACATGAGACAACGTAACTCATTATTTTTCAAAATAATTAGGTATATAAAATCCCGCTCAATATCTCACTATTGATTCATGCAAGACCAAAACTACATAACACCAAACATTAATGTGGATGTACTTATTAATAGCTAGACACTCATACTTTTTCAATGAATTTACCTAATTTCATACCAAATTGTGTAACCATTAAGCTAACATCAATATTTGTGATTATCAAAATCAAATACAATAGTAATTAAAAACTGAAACAACACAAAAATTAAAATAAATACAATTAATTACATGAAGTGGAGATTATTAGGCTTTGCCATTGGGAGGTCAACCAAAATTTTATTCGTCACTCACCAAAACCAATTCAATAGTCAACAAATACCACACTACATAAGTGTACAATTTTTCCTAATTTTCATTTTTTTTCTTCCCATTTTTTGCTTTTATTATTTATCACTCAAATCTCTTCAAAACAATATCAAACTCCCGCCGGCGGCAGCGGCGCGCCGCCGTCAAATGCCGCCTCACAACACCCTCCATTTTTAGGTAAATTACATGCGCTTGCAGACGACGATGAGCAAGCTGACGACGACGAAAATGAAAGAGTCGATGAAGCGAAGGAGCGCCGAGCTTCCCCGTCCACAGCTGCGGAGGAATGTTCCGATCCCGAGTCGAGCCGGAAAACCAAATCGACGAACGCTCCGATTATGTATCCGTGGTTTCGTTCGCCGTTTTCCCTTAAGTAGCACTCGAGAAGATTCTCGAGATACTCCCAATCGCAACCTCCGCGCGCGGCCACCATATCCTCCATCGACGCTCGGAAATCCCGAACCGGGTCGTGGGAGTCCAACATAACCAAAATTACCGCACTTTTTCGAGGCGGTGGGCCCGTCGTTTTCGCTTCTTCGAGAATGGAATTCGAGCTCCCGGGCTTGAAAAAGAACCTCTCGGACGACGTCAACAGTTTTGTGGCGGTTTGCAGTTCCGGCGAAGAAGCTTCGTCGTCATTGTGGTCGGGAAATGTTCCGGCGACGTCGAGGCTTTTCCGGCCTGTGGGGGATTCGGCGCGGAAGGAGAGCGTTCGGGGGTGGGCGGCACAGGCCGGCCACCGCCATGAAGTGGCGGAGGAGGACACGGCGGTGGTGGTGGTGGTTGTTTCGGAGGATTTGAAGAGAAATGGAAGCTTCATATTGGTGATGGTTCTTTTTTGTGGAGGGTTTGATGGAAATAAAATGAGATGAGAAATGAGGTTTATTATAGTGTTGTTTTTTCTTGAATTATTTTAAGTAATAATAAATAATAAAGGAAATTTTTATTTTGTTTATTTTGTTGGTGTGGTATTTAAGATTTAGGTAAGTGGTAGATTTTAAAGTCGTCACTGACACATTCAGAAAGAAATTGTGTCGAGCATCATCAGTATACATAAATGAGAAATGCTACGGTCACGTTATGGAACAATTCTGTCAGAATTTATAACCGTTAGATCAACTATCCTCGATGATTACATGATGATTTAACGGTTATAAACTCCGACGTAATGGTTCCGTAACGAGACCGTAGAATTTTTCTACATAAATATTATTACTACAAAGATTATGACAAATATCAATTAACTAGTTTGATTATAAACTATATGAGATAATTGCTAAATTTATAATTTCAAATCTAAAAAATTAAATCCAAGTAATCAAACACAATATTGTTTACTTGGCCAAAATAAAAAATATATAAATAAAAAAGATAACAAACTAAATAATTAAATATTTTAAAAATGATAATAATATTTTTCGCTCATCTCTCCATTGAATATGAATGAGAATGTGGACGAACTACGTTTCTCTCTACATTGTATACATTAATTATGTCCACTCCATCACTATATTTGCGATAACATTGTCTATTGAAGGAATATAATTAGAGACGTTGCTAAATTTGTTAGCGTAGAGTGTAATTTATCACAACTATATTTAAGTATTGGAAATGCTCTAAGGAGTGATGCAATTGTCGAGTTTTGTTACCGTTGGATCAATATAAAATATTCATGAGTTTGTGTTGTTCTAACAGTGGCCAGTTTGGATATAAGTTATTTTGGATCTGATTACATTTATTGAATAACATAAGTTTAATTTAGAAACAAGTTGGTTGAGTTTGATTTGTGTGGGATTTTGAGTTTGTATTCAAATAATATCTAAAATATAATGATTAAAATTAATGAAATATATATAAAAAAAAGATAAGTTATTGAAAGTAATATGTAGTTAAACCTATGTGAATTGATGAATAATGAACTAAAGTTAATGTGATGTGCGCAAAATAATTGAATTATATTATTTAATTATATTAATATTATTGAAGAAAGTTGAATTGAATTAAATTTGAGCTGAATTTAGGCTAAAAGTATTATTTGGTCAATTATAACTGGATAATTTATATCAAATCAGAAGATTCAATGGCTGCACTATAGTCCGGTAGGTTGAAATTCAAAAATTAAATGTACTTAATTTAATTTTTAAAATATAATCTGAATTAAAATGTTTTCTTGTAGTTATATTAGTTTTTATGCATTTTTATACTTTTTTAAAAAAGAATTAAAAAAAAGGTTCAAATTCATGCATTAGGTGGCTTTAAATGTGAGGCGATCAACATTTAATTATCATAAATGTGACTGTTACATTAGGACAACTGAAGTTTTCTTTTGCAGATACGTGTGACCACTTTGCATATATACTAGTATTCGACCCTGTGCATTTGCACAGATGTAAATAAAGTATTGTGAGTTATTTGTATGCATATAATTATTAATTATTTTTCTTTCACTTTTTTGCATGCCAAATTTACAAATAAAGAAGTTGGAATATTTACTTTTTTTTTAAAAAAAAAAAATTATGTTTATCTGATTGGATGTAATGTATATTTTGGTACATTTTTTTTTTTGAATTATTTATCATTTATTTAGGAATTTCAAGTACGTTTTTAATTTTCAAAAAAATATTAATTTAAATGTAACCACAATAATAACATCTAATCACATTGTACGATCAACACATTATATGGTCAGCTGTCACTAATAAAAAGCTTAAAATGATTTTTGTAATTTTGAAGTGATTAGTATTGATTATTTAATAATTAAATGAAAGATTAAATACATAAAAAAGTAATGGTTTTTGGAGGGAAAAGTATTAAATTGCCACATAGGTAAAATTAATTTGGTTTTATTAAATGCTATTGGCTAGTAATTATATATATATAGATTACATTAAATAATGTTGTTACCAAATAATGAAATTTAATTTAATTTGTTTTAAAGGATTTTATTGCTACGTGTAATATTATTGTCTTGAGTATTATCGAAACGTCTCATATTGCATTTAATTCTCATAAAAGGTTAAAATTGGCCATGCCGTGGAGTTGGTTAAATTGAATGTTAGGATTCTGTTGTTTTCTATCTCGATCATCAAGATAGGGATTATTTCCAAATATTATTATTATTATTATTATTATTATTATTATTATTATTATTATTATTATTATTCAATTTATGTGTAGTAGTTCACTACCAAAAAAAAAAATTATATTCCAACGGCAAATCCTACGCTAATGTATTACAACGAAAATTCCAACGGATATTCCAATGGAATAGTTTCTATTGGAATGATTCCTACAAAAATTCCAACGAAAAAATTCCGTTGGAATGAGTTTTCTAATGGAATTTTAGATGGAATTTGATGATTCTAACGGCTATTTTTCGAAGGGTATTTTATCGTAGGAATTTCCGTTGAAATTTTTATTTTCACCTCCGTTAGGATAGTCAAAATCCAACGGGAATTCCAACGGAAAACTCATTCCAACGGGATATTTTTGTTAGAGTTTCCGTTGGAATTCCATTAAAATATATTTGTGTTGAATTTTCCGTTGGAATTTTATCATCTTGCTGTAGTGGTTGCGGATTTAGATATAGGCCAGCATAGGCTGAAATTTTAGCTGATAAGCATTGGTGATGTTAATATGTTCAAAATAAAACACCACCAATATGTGCATGCCACATAAACGATAGACATATTAACATGTGTCCACCGTGGGTAGGGGAAGATTACTTACATATGATCTATAATAAGCGTGAAAAATGATTTAACTTGAGATTGGATGAAAAAGAAGGCATGAATATCTTAATTTATTTTAATGGGCCAAAATAATTTCTTATAGAGTTTCTCATCAACTAGTCTTCTCATTAACTATTAAATGCTCGTTATAAATATAACCAAAACAATAAATAAAATCTCTCATAAAAGGGGAAATTCTACTAGAAGGCCTAACTTTTATTAATTGTATTAATCTAAGGCTTGAATTTTTTACTTTTTCAATAGAAGGCTTATATTTTAGGTTATTCTCACTTTAAGGC